GATTAAACCAAGCTACTCCTTGGAGGCAAGGATTCTGGGGCTTTGTCTGACATACTTTGGACATGTTGCCAGGAGGCACGGGTCCTTGGAGAGGGACATCATGCTTGGGAGGGTGGAGGGACGGTGCAGGAGGGGAAGACCCTCTATGAGATGGATTGGTTCTGTGACTGGGGTAATCGGGATGGGTGTGTCAGAGGCAGTGCGGTTGGCGCAGGATAGAGCAGGGTTTAGGGTTGTTGTGCATAGGGTAGCTATGAGTCACTAGCTACTTGATGGCACATAACAACAACAACTACTGATCTTACACCCAACATACCTTTTCAATTTCCTCTTTCTCAGTAATGGCAACTCTATCCTTCAGATGACTCAGATCAAACATCTGTGAATCATTCTTGATGTCTTTCTGACTCATATTGTGCATTAATTTCAAAGTACATCCTTTTGGTTCCGTATTTTGAAGATACCCAGAATCCTTCACCTTCTTGTCCAAGCCATCGTTCATCTCTACTTCAATGATTGTAATGACTTCTGTTAGCCTTGCTACATGCACTTTTAGGCATTTCCAAGTTGTTAATGAAATGACAGAGGGATTCTTGGTAAAATGCAAACAGAAAATGGCATGACTCTTCCCAGTGGCTTTCCTTCTCTTGCTTGCTCATTCTCATGGGAGAAGTAGGGTATGTACAGTGCTCACACATCCTGTCTGATCTGTGTTCCATCTTCATCCTGTCCTCATGACTCTGGGACCTCGTTTTATACCTCTTTATTCTTCCTCAAGTCAGGGCATCCTGGGATCCTTGGCTTTCCTCTGAGGTGCCTAGCATGCTCTTACCAGAGAGGCTTTGCACTTGCTTGTCCCTCGGTGTGGAACGTTTGTTCTCTGAGATAACTGCATTACACACCTTGTCACTTATTTTAGCTCAGTATCCCTGCTCAGTGGGTTCTTCACCTCTTTGACTAAGATAACAGTAGTCTCATTCACCTCCTCGGTCCTGTGTTTTTGTTAGCAGTTACACAATTGGTGCCCGTGTGTACAGATCAAAACTGCTCTGTAGGATTCTCTTGGTTGTAATTCTTTGGAAGCAGTACACCATCCTTTTTTTCTGTAGAGTACTGCTTGACACATACCCTCTTCACAAACATCACCTAACACATCATGTATCTTACACATTTGTTTTGCTTTTATTATCTTTTTTTTTTGCTTCCCAGCACGCAAATTCCATGAGGATCGGAATCTTTTTCTCTGTCTTGTTTGCTACTATATCTGTAGTACTTAGAACACTCTGTACAATATTATGTATTTTGTAAATACTTGTTGAATAAATATAGAGTTAATTGTAATCTCTTTACGAGCAACCCTGTGCATTCAGTATGAATCTTCTTATTCATTTACAGATTAGAAATTAAGACTCAGGTTTAAAGCTTATTAGTTTATAGATAAAGGATTTAAACTCAGATATCTCTTGACTCCCAGCTTAACCACTCTCCGTGTGCATTTACTTCACCGATTAGGATACTTTGTGTTTGAAATCTCCATCAGGTTAATGCTATTGCATGATACTGTAAGTCATCAAGTGTGTGCAATTTATGCTTTTATCTTTAATCATTACATGTTTGGGAAAAGCAGAAACAGATTCTTAAAGGTTTAGTTAGTATTTCGTTTTTGCTGAATTTTTGAAATATACTGGAGAGACTTTTTTCCTTAAACCAAATATAGAGGTTTCTTAAAAACTCAACTTCTCTGTTTTATTCTTTTTTTTTAAATTTTATTTTTTAAAGCCTTAAATTTTCTTAATGAAAAAAAATCTTAATCTAGTAAATGTGAAGCAGAAAGGAATATGTAAGAATACTGCTTATTTGTTACTATGGCTCAAGCATTCCCAGGTTATGGATTCCACAGGTGGCAGCTGAAATCAATGTTCCATTTTTCAGTATTGAGTTGTTCTTAATTCAATGTAAATTAAAATAAAATAAAATACCAGACTACTCCTCAAAGTCAAATAGGAAAGTGATGAAGGACAGCAATCATAATTTCAGGAGATGTTCATAGATCATGATGAGCATGAATCATGCTGTGACTTCTTGCAGCTGCTTTGAGGGTGTACACTACAGGATGTCTGGTCTTGTTGGTTATTTTTCCGACACCTGTCTTATTTGTGGTTCATATTCAATGGAAGTGACTGAGCTGAAAGTGACCTCCATTCACCAAGAAGAACTGATATTTTCGGAATATGGAAATAAAATTTGAATCCTAGATTTGTTGCCCAAATTTTTGGCCATGTGGCCAGGCTGTGGCAGTTGTTAAGGCCTACCCAATTTTCTGAAATGAATTTTTTTCCCTCCTGAAAAAGTATAACTGTTGGCTGGGAGGTGATAAAATTTCAAGTAAAAATTTAGTTGTACCTGAATAAATTGCTGCCAAGGATCTGAAGTGCTAAAGATCAAGGATGCCCATTTAAAAACTAAGATGTGCCTGATCCAAAGTACAGTATTTTCAGTTTCTCCATATGCATCTGCCCATCCATATGCATAAAATCGGACACTGAATTGAGAAGACTAAAGAAGTATTGATGAGTATGAACTGTGATGTTGGTGAAAAGTTTTAAGTATACCATGGACTGCCAAAAGAATTAATAAATCTATATTGGAAGCCAAGGAGCCAGAATGCTTTCTTTTATGTGTGTACCATGGAGTCGGAACTCCATAGCTGATGGTCCAGCGGCTTTTCAGAGACAGTTGAATCAAATGGGAGTAGATTGCCATCTCTCTCCCCCTGAGAAGCTGGTGGATTTGAACCTTACATCTTTGGGATTGCAACGCAGCCTCAAGAGCTTCCTAGAATGGTCCCAAGAATCAAAGTGTTATTAGGAAGTGGCTACCATCACACATAACACACACACACACACACACACACAGAGTGGCTGTGGGGCAGAGTCCACTGAGTGACACCCAAAATAATGGTTGTTCCACTGGAAAGCCCAAGATGTTTATCTAATGCATCTACTACCTTGATGGCAAAACTTGGAGTAGGTTTATTCAACTTAAGTTACCTGCTGATTTTTTTTCATTCCCACCTCAGAAATACTGAGAATCTGCATTTCAGTTAGATCCCTGGGTCATTTTTGTTTTTTTTTTTTTAATATTGAGATTTTAATGAAAGTTTATCAAGAACTTGGAATTCCATTCATCGATTGCTGCACATTCTCCCCCCCAACCCTCACGCATTCTTATATATCCTCAGGTGAACTGTAAATTCTTGTTAAAATGTAGTTTAGATTCAGTAGATTTGCAATAGAAATACTAATTCTTAGCAAGGGGTTGAGCCAGAATAACTGAAGTCTTTGCTTTGAAGAGATGCAGCAGCTCCAAATTCTGTTTTGTCTTTAGTGCTCACAGCTGAAATCTCTTTTCAGTTCTTTCAGTTTTTTATTGTTCTTTTCAGTTGGCTCCTTGGAGTCTTCACTGAGCACATTGTTAGTTGCCGTCAAGTTGGTCCAGATTCATGGCAACTGTATGTGTAACAGAATGAGACATTGTACGATTCTGTGCCATCTTTATGATAATTGATATGCTTGATAGTCTCTTGTTTTGACTATAGTGTCAGTCAGTCTCATCAAGGGTTTTTCTTGTTTTAATTGGCCTGTTACCAAGCATGTTCTTCTCTATGCCTTGCAGGCATAGGGGCCAGCTAAGGATTTGAACAGGGTTTATATGCAGATTTTGGGTCTCCTCATTCAGTGTTCTTCCTTTTGGAGTTTAATCCTCAATTTCCAGTTACTCTGACAGTTCCAGATTTGTCTCTGACACCTCAGGCCAATAAAACGGAATCTATTTGTTTGTGTTCTAGCTGTCCCACATCACACAGACAAGGGCGTTTCCTGGCAAAAAAAGCCCTATGAATGTCATGTTCATCTATTGTGCTTCAGTTCTTTTAAGTCATATCTCCTCCCTTTAGATTTTGGCTGCTTTTGGCTAGATGATATCTTTGAGTAGTTATATTTTTTCCCTTGAGTTCATAATCGTTAGCTGCCAGAGCTTTAGTCTGAAAAATACTGCTCTGTCATTATTGGAATCAGAGCCTCAGTAACTCGTCAGAGTGTTTTCATCATCATTCATTTCTAAGTACTTTTCTCATTTCTATTACAGTTTCTTCTTTGGCTGGTAGGCTATTTTGATATATATATATATATATATGATAAATTTTCTGTCCTAAAGATTTAAAAATCTTTTCTTATTGATTTCTAGCCAAATTCCAACTATGGCCAAAGAATTTACTGTTCATGATTACAATTCTTTGAAAATTTGTTGAGAATGGATCATTTATAGCCCTATATTGTCAATTTGTTAGTCTTCTCTTTACTTGGTTTATTTATCTGTTGAATAAAGTGTCTTCTATATAATAGTGTGTTTTTGTTAATGATAATCAAATCATAATCTAAGTCACTGAGCTTGATATTAATTCTCCCCCTGGTTTTCCCTTTCAGTTCTGTTATTTTTTCTTTTTTTTTGAGACCATATTAATTAAGTGTATTTAAATTTAGAATTATGTTCATCTTATAACTTATAATTTATAGCAGTATGACTTTTTCCTCTTTAGTTAACTACTTTTTTCCACGAAAGTCTACTTTATCTTCTTAGAACTTTTAATACAGTATGGTCAACTTTTTATTACATTTTGATTTTGTACTATTTTTCTTATCATGTACAGCTTTAAAAAAATTTACTCAGAGGTTAAAAATTTTCTTTTAAGCATTACTTTCTTTTATTCCAATATGAGAATCTTTTAAGTAGGATGTTCAGATTGTTTAAAACTCATAATACTACCAATATTTCCATTTAAGTCAACCATCATACACTTACTACTTTTCTAACTGCTAGTTGTAGAATTATTTTTCTCCAGTCCCACTATTATTAACTTATTGGTGTTAGATGTGTTATGCATTATGCATTTTTATTTGTCTGGTTGAGATTACTTTTTCTTTTTCTTTTTTTTTTTTTAGGAAAAGATAGAGTTTTCAACACTCCATTGTGTGAACAAGGAATTGTTGGGTTTGGAATTGGAATTGCAGTCACTGGTGCTACTGCTATTGCAGAAATTCAATTTGCAGATTATATTTTTCCTGCATTTGATCAGGTAAGGACATCACATTTTATTATGTATGAATTAACATTTTTTAGCTTGTTAAGTACTATCACACAACCTCCAATCTTTGGAAAATGTATTTCCTTTGAGTTAGTCTATGGACATATGTGTGTGTGTACATGGAGCGCTGGTGGTTTATCTATGTAATTGTTGGTACATATATAACCATGGTTAACAGCTTCAGTTTGCTTGGCTCCACAGTCAACACTCTTGGTACCAGCAACTAGGAAATGAAAAGACACAATGTATTGGAAAAGTCTGCTGACAGAGAACTCTCCAAAGTCCTGAAGAACAACAATGTCAGTCTGGAGACTAAAGTGCGCCCGATACAGGCCATGGGCTTTGCAATTACTTGCTATGTGTCAAAAAGCTGGACAATGACTAGGGATGATAGAAGGAGAATTCATACCTTTGAGCTGTTATGCTGGAGGAGAGTATTGAATATACCATGAACTGCTAAGAGAGCAAACAGGTTCAACCTGGAGAGGGTAAAACCAGGCTGCTCCTTGGAGGCAAGGATTCTGATGCTTCATCTGACATTCTTTGGACATGTTCTAAGGAGGGTCCAGTCTTCTCTGAGAAGAATGGAAATCCCAGAACATTTGATTGTGCTTATGCAAAATCTATACTCCTACACAGGAGGCTGTCGTCAGAACAGAGCAAGGAAACACTACATGGTTCAAAATAAAAAAAGGTGTATGCCATGGATGCATCCTATCTCCATACCTTTTCTATCTGTATGTGGAACAGATCAACACAACATATGGAGGCTGGGTTCTGTGAGAAGAAATGTGCCATCGAGATTGGAAGTAGACTCATCAAAAACATGTATTATGCAGATGACACAACCTTGCTTGCCAAAACTGAGGAAGACCTGAGGCATTTGCTGTAGGAGGTAAAGGACTTCAGCCTTCAATATAGATTGAAGCCCAGCATCAAGAAAACAGAGATTCTCACCACTGGCCACATCATGATAGACAGAGCAGAGATTGAGATTTTTAACAGCTTCAGCTTGCTTGGCCCCACAATCAATATTATTGGCACTAGGAGCCAGAAAATCAAATGACGAATTGCATTGGGAAAATCTGCTGTGAGGGACCTCTCCAGAGTACTGAAGAGCAATGATACCAGTCTAGAGACTAAGATTTGCCTATTCAGGCCATGGCCTTCGGAATTACTTGCTATGCATCATAGAGCTGGGTAGTGATAAAGGATAATAGAAGAATTGATCCCTTTGAGTTGTGGTGCTGGAGAAGAGTATTGAACGTACAGTGGACTGCTAAGAGAACAAATCTGTCCTGGAGAGGATTAAACCAGTTTTCTTCTTGGAGACAAGGAATTTGAAGTTCCATCTGACATCGAGGAGGAACCAGTCCTTGGAGAGGGACATCAGGCTTGGGAGAGTTGAGGGACAGTGCAAGAGAGGAAGACCCTGGATGCAATGGATTGGCTCAGGCTAGAGCTGCTGTATATGTTGTTGTTGTAAAATGCCATGGAAATGAGTAAGACTTATAGTGACCTTATGAACAAAAGACCTGAACCTTGTTTTATAAATATAGTCATTTCTCTGTGTTCATAGAGTTTCCAGAAGCATGTAGTTTAGAAAGTGGATGCCACTCCTGCTTCCCAATCTGGGAGCTCCACCAAAGACTGGCCATGATGGGTAACTATTATGGTATATGATACACCAATGGCACAGCGTTCAGTACCACAGCAATCCTAGGTTACTTCAGTACAGCAAATAGATCAGTAATGTACCACTTAGAAGAATGTTCATCCCAAAGTCAGTTAACACTAAGCTTTATTGCCTTTTAAATACAAAGCACATCCTCCAGGTTCTGGTTGATTCTAAACCTAGAGACTTCCAGCCTGCAGCTCTTTGTTATCTAAATCCAGCAAGGCAGTGTTAAGTTGTTGGATTCTTGAAGGTGATTTTTCACATCTTGGTGAGAGCCGGGTGCAGAATATTTGGTTGTTTTTTGCCATTTTTTGTTCACAGTTTGGTGTCACAGCTGTTGTGTATAGACAGCACATAGCAACAACAACATGTTTATACATATAAAATGGTGTGTGTGTGTGTGTGTGTGTGTATATATATATGTATATATATATACACACACATATACATATGCATACATATACACAAACCACACACACATGCACTATATATAAAAAAACAGAGTGTGTGTGTATAATATATTGTTGTTGTTGTTGTTTGCTGCCGTTGAGTTGGAACCAACTCATGGTTTATTAGTTAGCAGAGTTTTAGAGGTAGTAATTTGCCTGGGAGGAGATTGCCCATTCTTCCACAGTGGAGTAGTTGCTGGATTTGAACTATAAGCCTTTGGGAGTGAAGTGCAGCTTCTTATCACTAAATCACCACAGCTCCCTATATAATATTGTTGTTGTTAGGTACCATTGAGTTGAGTATGACCCATAGCAACTCTCTGAACAACAGATCTGAACTTTGTCTTATCTTGTCCCATCCTCACAATGATAATTAATGTTTTATAACAAAATGTCTATAAATGATGGATGAAAAAAGTATGATTTGTAAACTTTAAAATTAATAAATATTTAGGATATGTCTTTTATTTTCTGATAAATATCTGAAAATTTAAAAATCATATATTTTATACAATAATTCATAATCTCTTGTTGTATATTGCCTTTCCCCCCACCCATCATATCTGTTTATTCATTTTTACTCTCCTTTCCATCCCTGCTAACTCTCTAAGATGGATTCTGTCAACTTTTCCTTAGTTTTTTATAATAGTAATCTTATACCATAGTTGCTCTTTTGTAAATGACTAATATCACTCTAAACAATTTATTCTGGATTCATTCATGTTGTGCATTCTTGGTGGTTTGTCAGGAGTTGTATGAGTCAAGATTCTTAGCACTGGGCTACTTGGCAGCATCATGATAGATGAAGAAGGGATTGAGATTGTTAACAGTTTTATCTTGCTTGATTCCACAATCAAAACTCTTGGCAACAGCAGTCAGGAAATCATAGGGCCAGTTTCTTTGTGAAAGTCTGCTGTCAGGACCCTGTCCAGTGTGTTAAAGAATACGAATGCCAGTTAGAGACTAAAGTGTTCTGATCAAAGCTATGATCTGCTCAGTTACTTGCAGTGCATCTGAGAGCTGGGCATTCGAGAAGGATATCATTCTTGGAAGAGTGGAGGGTCAGCACAGGAGAGGAAGATCCTAAATGAGCTAGATTAACACAATGACTGTGACAGTGGGGGCAGGTGTCTTAGTGAGATTGGCTCAAGATAGGGCAGAATTCAGAGCTATTGTTGATAGGATCACTATGAGTTGTAGTTGACAGCACATAACAACAACAACTGCAACAGTAGATTATCAGGGAGCTCTGGTGGCCTAGGAAGGAGCTGCACTGTCATCCTGAAGGCATGCAGTTTAAATCTACCAGCCACTCTGCAGGCGAAAGATGGGCAGTCTCCTCAAGTGCAGTTATACTGTCCCTGCAAACCTGCTGGAAGGTCAACTATTAAGTCAATTTATAACAACAAGCTGCTAAAGATTTGGGCCATTTCTTTTCTTTCCTTCCTCTCCCTCTCCCTCTCCCTTCCCCACCCCCCTTTTTTTTAGCTGTTGCAAAAAGCTTTATTGTTCCATTTGGTCCAAGGCTTGGGTGAGGGGTTTCTGGGTGTATAAGATTCTACACCAGGGTGGGAAAGATTTGGGCCATTTCTTCATATGTTTGTGGCCACCTGATATCTTCTTTTGCCAAAGTGTTTATTCATATCTTTGCCAGTGTTTCCTTGTTGAGGTATTGAGTTTTCTCTAAATCTTAGAGATGATTCTCATAGGCATATTTGAAGAGCCACAAGTTTCCTCTGCTATCATAGAGTCCCTACGAAACTTTATAAGCTGAAATGGTGTAAAGTGAAGAAACATGATACTATTACTTTAACTGGAATAACTTTGAAGGGTTCCCTAATCACCAAAATACCCATTTCATACCAGATCATGCATGGAATCCAAAATAGCACTAACTCATTGACACTGGTCTTTGCAGTCATATGCTATGCATCAGAGAGCTGGGCAATGACTAAGGATGATAGAAGAAGAATTGATTTTGAGCATTTTGAGCTGTGGTGTTGGAGAAGAGTATTGAATATACCATGGGCTGCTAAGAAAGCAAACAGGTTTAGCCTAGAGAGGGTGAAACCAGACTGCTCCTTGGAGGCAAGGATTCTGAAGCCTCATCTGACATACTTTGGACATGTTGCAAGGAGGGACCAGTCCTGGGAGAGGGACTTCATGCTTAGGAGGGTGGAGGGACAGCTCAAGAGAAGAAGACCCTAGATGGGATGGATTGATTCAGTGACTGGGGTAATGGGGTAGGGTGTGTCGGAGACAGTGAGGTTGGCACAGCATAGAGGATAAAGCAGGGTTTAGGGCTGTTGTACATAGGGTCACTGTGAGTTGCAGGTGACTCGATGGCACATAACAACAGCAAACTTTGACACTGAGTAGGTGTTGGCTTATAGAGACTCTTTCTGGCATTCCCTAGGCTGCAAATCTTTACAGGAGAAGACTTCCACTTTTCTCCTTTAGATTTTGGAACTACTAGTGGATTCATACTGCCAATCTTGGATTACCAGCCCGAGATGTTATACAGTATGTCACGAAGACTCCTTAAAACAAAACTAACATATTGTAAAAGCAAGAATAATATGATAAATACATAGTCTATAGAAAGAAATGATGCACGTAAGGTATAGTGTCCAAAGAAATAGCTTTGTGATGCTCTTCTGATGTTGCATACAGCCTTTAGCAAAAAGTAAACTGTTACAGAGCAAAATGCTGAATGGTACTTTTACTTTTTTTTTCTTAAAGTAAAAACTATCTTCAGATTTTTTTTTGTCACTAACAAAAACAGTTACTAACAAGTCTTTCTTAAAAGTGAATTGATAAAAGTTTAATTCTTGAAAAGCAGACCATACCTGCCTATAATTTAAGAAAATGATGGAAAATAAGACTCATTTTGAAGTGCTATTTCTTTTCTTCTCTTCCAGATTGTTAATGAAGCTGCCAAATACCGCTATCGTTCTGGGGATCTTTTTAACTGTGGGAGCCTAACCATCCGTTCCCCATGGGGCTGTGTTGGCCATGGGGCGCTCTATCATTCTCAGAGTCCAGAAGCTTTTTTTGCCCACTGTCCAGGAATCAAGGTATAATTATTTATGTATTTTAGTGGGTATCTGTTTGATGTTTCTGTTTTTACTGGTTCTGTTAATATTAACGAACACACTTATCTAGAGGAAAACCATCAGAATCTTTGAGCTTAACTGCATTTAAGAAAGAGCAGTTTTTCTTAGGTGAGCTCTCCAATGTTCAATTTTATAGAATATTCACTTTAAGTAGAACTGTTATGACACTAGATTTCATTTCAAATTTGAAAATGACTTCAACTTTTGTTGAATACTGTCCTAGAGTCCTAGGACTCTGGATGACACATTTCATAGACTTCTAAAGCTGAGAACCATTGTTTTTTCTTCCTTTTGTCAAAGCTCTGCTTCTTGGTAATGTGTGTTTTTCATTTAATTGATTGTGAAGTGACTGAAGAGATAAATCTATTATTTCCTTGGTGTTTACCTTAACATTAGAGACTTGTACAGATTGTGCTTTAGTACATTTTCTTTCTTCAAATAAACGGAGAGAATTCTTACTTGACTAGGTATGTTTTTTTGCCTTGGAGTAAGAAATACTCCTCAAATAATTGATTTTGATGCAATTTCCTTTTATAACATGATTTCTATATTAGCTTAAGTATTTTGATACAATTTTTTTAATCTTAATTTTCACCTTAGTTTGAGCTTTCTGGGATATCAGAAATTTATAAAATATGTCTATTCATATATATGTTTGTTTTGACATCATGAAATGGTTATGAACATATATTTATGCTTTATTTCATTTTTTTCTACTGTTGTTGTTATGTGCCGTCGAGTCGTTTGCAACTCATAGCGACCCTATGTACAACAGCCCTAAACCCTGCTCTATTCTGTGCCAATTGCATTGCCTCTGACACACCCATCCTGATTACCCCAGGCACTGAATCAGTCCACCTCATAGAGGGTCTTCCCCTCCTGCACTGTCCCTCCACTCTACCCAGCATGATTTCCCTCTCTAAAGACCTGTCTCTCCTTACAACATGTCCAAAGTATGTCAGGCGAAGCCCCAGAATCCTTGCCTCCAAGGAGGAGCCTGGTTTAACCCTCTCTACGATCTGTTTGTTTTCTTGGCAGTCCATGGTACATTCAGTACTCTTCTTCAGCACCACAGCTCAAAGGCATCGATTCTCCTTCTATCCTCCCTAGTCATTGTCCAACTCTCTGATGCATAACAAGTGATTGCAAAAACCATGGCCTGTATCAGGCGCACCTTAGTCTCCAGAGAGACAAAAATTATAAGATTTTTAACCAAGTAGAGGTTACATTATTTTTCAACTGCGGAGAAAGTCACATTTGAGAGAGCAGTTCCTTTTGTTTGAGCTTGAACATAGGTTTGTTCACAGTAAATGTTATAATGTTTGCCATTGTTTTAATAATTTATCTCTTCTTTCAATCTCTTACTTTCTTTATTCCTTCTTTATTTTTTCCCCCAGGTTAAATATACAAAGCATACAAAAGGCTTAAAAATAAATAGATGAAGAAATAAAATGAAGAGAATATAAGAAGTCAAATTAAGAAAATAGGAACAAAGGAAAATAAGAGCATTGTGTCATTTGGCAAGCAATGTTTTTAGCAATCTTTAAAGAAAATAAAATAATGAAAATTGTTCTTCTGTTTTACTTCTTAGGTAGAATTCTTCAAATGCAATAACACAGAATGACATTGGAATCCAAACACAATTTGCTTCAATGAATCTTACTTGAGTCTTATAATAAATTCTGATTTATTTTAGTGATAATATTATAATAATAATTTACATTTATAATCCTTTACATTTTTAATTTTTTTGAAAAGTAAGCCTAAAATACTTTATACAAGTATTCAATAATTCTTAAAAAGGAGACGCAGGTTAGCACTTTGACGTTTAGGAGATAAGAGTCAGGGTGTGGTATCATTCAGAACTGGGTGAGAATTCCTCATCTAACCCATACTGTCTAAACACATACTGTTAAATTGGGCTAGTTACTTTATGACTTTTTAAGTCTCAGGCTCTTTATTTCTGAAATGAGGAAAATAAGAATAGCTACTTCATGTACTTCATGGAGTTTCTATAAACAATAAGTTAATCTTCATTGTATGTTTAACAAGTAAATCAATATGTTTTTTCTTGTCATTATCATCATCATCATTTTTTTTAACTTTTTACAGTTTTATTATTTGTGTGCGTGTGTACCGTCAAATTGGATCTGACTGGTACAGGAGGAGATTGTCCCTCCTTCTCTAGCAGAGCATCTGGTGGATTTGAACTGCACGCCTCTGGGTTTGCAGTGCAACTTCTTGCCACTAGGCCACCAGAACTCCCTATCATCTTCATTCTTAAGAAAGTTCTGGAGAGCCGAGAATGGGAGTTGAGTCTGACTGCACACCTGGCCACCTCTCTTCTCTCCTCGCTCTCACCGCCAGCTTTCCCTCCAGCTTGCTCTCCGCCCGGAACACCTTCCACCACGTCCACCTCAGCAAGTTCCCAATTGAACAAAGGCATCAAGCAGCTGTATATGGCCCTGCCTCAGGGTGAGAAAGTCCAGGCCATGTATATCTGGATCGATGGCAAAGGAGAGGGACTGTGCTGCAAGACCCGAACCCTAGATTCTGAGCCCAAGAGTATAGAAGGGTTGCCTGAGTGGAATTTTGATGCCTCCAGTACTTTCCAGTCTGAAGGCTCTAACAGTGACATGTATCTCCTCCCTGCTGCTGTGTTTCGGGATCCTTTTTGCAAGGACCCCAACAAGCTGGTGTTCTGTGAAGTCTTTAAGTACAACCGAAAGCCTGCAGAGACCAATTTAAGGCACACCTGTAAACGGATGACATGGTGAGCAACCAACACCCCTGGTTTGGAATGGAGCAGGAATACACCCTCATGGGGACAGATGGCCACCCCTTTGGTTGGCCTTCCAATGGTTTCCCTGGACCCCAAGGTCCCTATTACTGTGGTGTGGGAGCAGATAAAGCTTATGGCAGGGACATTGTGGAGGCTCACTACCGGGCGTTCTTATATGCCGGCATCAAGATTGGGGGGACAAATGCAGAAGTCATGCCTGCCCAGTGGGAGTTCCAGATAGGCCCCTGTGAAGGAATTGACATGGGAGATCATCTCTGGGTGGCCCGTTTCATCCTGCACTGTGTTTGTGAAGACTTTGGCATTATAGCGACCTTTGACCCCCAAGCCCATCCCTGGGAACTGGAACGGTGCTGGATGTCATACCAACTTTAGCACCAAGGCCATGCGAGAAGAGAACGGTCTGAAGCACATTGAGGAGTCCATCGAGAGACTAAGCAAGCGGCACCAGTACCACATCCGCGCCTACGATACCAAAGGAGGCCTGGACAACGCCCGGCGCCTGACTGGATTCCACGAAACCTCCAACATCAATGACTTTTCTGCCGGTGTGCCCAACCGTGGCGCCAGCATCCGCATTCCTCGGACTGTTGGCCAGGAGAAGAAGGGTTACTTTGAAAACCGCCGTCCCTCTGCCAACTGTGATCCCTACTCGGTGACAGAAGCCCTCATCCGCACGTCTTCTCCACGAAACTGGCGACGAGCCCTTCCAGTATAAAAACTAAATGGACTAGACCTCCAGTCATCAAAAGCCCCCTCTTTTTCATCCCACGCCCTCTTCTCCTTTCTCCTACTTGTTTCTACTAGCTGTAATTCAGAGGGCAAAATATCGAGGTCATTTTTATTCCTCAGGCCCAATTAATAACTCTTCCTTTTTGGGGGGCCAGGGTAGAGGGGTCAAGTTCTTAATCTCTTCATGGCCATCCCGCCCCTTTTCCCTGTCACTGAAGCTTTCTTGAAGACTGAGGAATAGTGCATTAGTGGGGAGGGGGTAGGGAAACATAACCACTACTTCCATTTAATCAGGTGTGTTTGTCCAGTAGGCATAGCTATCCAGACAGAGCATTTATGTTTGTGAAGGAAGGAAAGGAGGAATTTATTGAGGTAGCTGAAGTGGGAGGGCCTGACTTAATCCTGTGGTAATGTTAGGATTTCCTTGTTTGGGTGGGAGACTCCATGGAAATTGAGAAGGAAGGTAGGGATATGACTGGACATATCCCTGCCTTAAGAAAAGATTTATACTACTTGGCCCTCAATGTTATAACACAAAGCAGAATAGTATTTTTATATTTAAATGTAAAAACAAAAAAATTATATATGTGGGTATGTGAATATGTATGTTTTCCTAAAAAGAGTAGGAGTCACCAGGAGAGGATTTGAGTAATCTGGTTAGAAGTCAGCCTCTCCTTTTGAGAAGGGTGAAGCACTGCTTGAGAAGTGGGCTATTATGTTCCACTACCACATACAGGTTTCTGCCCACCCTTCTGAAAGGAGTGAACACCAGCCACCCAGTGTGTGGAAGCAAGAGGCTTTGGGTCATCAAGTTAATAAGATACATGTACTTTTTCACACACTCACATGCACAAGAGTTTAGAAATAGGAGTTGGCTGGTCAACTTAAGCATGTTACCGACAAGGGGGTATTGGGTTATTTTCTGGTGGGAGTAGCATGTCACTAAAGCAGGCCTTTTGATATATTAAAAAAATTTTTTTAAAAAGCAAAAAAAAAAAAAGTTCTGGAATACCTTTTCTGTCAATTAGAAATATGGCTTATTCACACTTTTCTTTCTGAGCTACTATAACCAGACATTATCGTGTCTGGTTGTAGAATTCTGTGCATTAGTTTCTACTGAGGAAATGAAGATTCTGTTTTTCATAATAAAGGAGTTTTTTTTTTTGTTAAAATTTAGGTTATTTTTCATTTCAATGAACATCTACAGAGATTTTGGGATTCCATTCATTCATTGTTGCACCCTTCTCCCCGCACAAACCCCTCCCCCCTCCCCC